AATGAAGTTCCCTACAGACAATCACACAACATATATAAAACTTAAAAGTGTGTGAGACTAAAAAAAAAAATTAAAAATTAAATTAGAGTTGTTATAAGTAGAATACAATGGTAACTAAATGCTTCCAAAGTTATTTGTACCCATGCCTTGTTATAACTTGAGAGCACCCATGTTAGAGATGGTAATAATTATATTTTATTGCATATTTTAATTAATTAAATAATATTTATATTTCTAATAATGAAGATATTTTTTTCGTTTTCTCGATTAGTAAATATGAAACAGTTTCCTAGTTTTTTTTTATATTATTAATTAAATTATGTGGTTGTTGCCTCTGATGTTTGAACAGCCTCTTGGGTGGCATCTCTTTGGTCATTGGACTGTACTGTGTTCTGTGGGGAAAGAGCAGAGAGCAAATGCCGAAAGCCTCGTTAGACTTGGAGGAGGCATCGGGTTAATTAGAGTGATGACATGTCATGGTATATTTATACTATAGTATATAGTATATTTTCTCGTAGCGTTAAATTGGCATAAAATATATGCTTATATTGTAAAGTAAAGCCATATTATACTAACTGTTTATATAGTTTGGAGTAGTTAATTCTGACTTATTAATCCAAATCCAACATATAAAATTGACTTGTGACTTGTAAAGTGAAAGTTTTATCTCCTAGTATAATCTTTATTTATCTTGGTACAAAATGCTGATGTAAAAGGCAGAATCTCCGACGATCGACCACCTCATGAAACAAGGATCAATATAATGTCAATTGTGTTTCGTGTAATGTTGGGTCTGTAATAGCATTCATATTGTACCTAGGAACTACTTATTAGGAAAGGCTTCCAATTTCTCTCTCTTTTGTATTGGTTGGTTATGCAAATATGGTTGTTTTACAAATAGTTGAAAAACAGTATATATAAAATTTGATATTATGGTTGTGATGATGTTTTCACATTTTATAACAGTATGTGGCTCTTATTTAATTAGATTTTATAAAAATTTGAATTAATGTTTTCATTAATAAAGAAATTATTTTTTGTTAAATTTTTCACGATCAATAACTCAAATATATTTTTTTAATTTGGAACTTAATTTTAAAATTCTCAAATTTAAGACTTACTGATTAATTTAATCAATATTATATATAACAAATAAAAAAAAAAGAGACGATAAATAAAAAAGGGTGATATAGGATACATTTTAATATAAATAAATAGTTTATACACTAAAAATTGTAAATAATTTTTACATTGTTATTCAATAAATAAATCATGTGGCATGTCTTAATTATTGCGATAATTATCTTAAAAATTATACAAATAATAATTTTTTTTTATTGTTAACATTATAATTTTTTTTATCAATCTAACAATACATGTACATATAATCTTTAAATTAAAGTTAGAGTGTCAATATTTTATAAATAATTTCATTTGTTGACAAAAAAATAATAGTCAATATTATAATTACATAACAAATCATATATATGTTGAAAATCAACCATTAATTTTTTCATCAAAGACTACTGATTTTTTTTTTACATACCAACTATTGATATTAATTACTTTATTTTTCTCACTTTAGAATATTCAAATCATTAGTTGAGATTCTCATAAAATATACTGTACTTAAATATTTTTGAGACTACATAAAATAGTAAAGTAGTCGTCTAATCTAACATACTATAATTAACTTAGTAATTATAAAAGAAAGA